ATTAGAGTATTACCAGTACAAAATGGTAATGAAATACTTCAGTCTTCATTCTTAGGTGCTCTAAGGTGCTTCATTTTAAGACTTTTCTCTTCCATGTAAGGCATGTGGCTAGTGGCTGCCTTCAACTTTCTCCTCCACTGACCTTCCTCTAAACTGCTTTTGGCTATGCTTATATAAAAGTGGAAGGAGGTGGAACAGCTAAGGAGATAGGATAGTTCTTTTTTGGTAGTGTAAGTTTGTACTACCTGGGTCTGAAAGATGGTTAAAGCTGATTCTTTTTCTCGAAATGTGCTTTTTTTTTTTTCCTTGAGACAGAGTTTCACTCTGTCACCCTGGGTAGAATGCTGTCGTGTCATCATAGCTCACAACAATCTCAAACTCTTGGGCTTGAACGATCCTCCTAAATCCTCAGCCTCCCAAGTAGCTGGGACTGCAGGCATGCACCACTAACCCAGCTAGTTTTCTTTTTTTTTTCTATGTTTAATAGAGACTGGATTTTGCTTTTGCTTAAGCTGGCCTCAAATTCCTGAGCTCACGCAATCCTCACACCTTGGCCTCCCAGAGTCCTAGGATTAAAGGTGTGAGCCACTGCATCCAGCCTTTCAAATGTGCTTTTAAAGTTTCTGTGGAGATTCCTATCATCAGAGATCTCTCACTTGAGTCCCTTTGGCCTAGACCAACATGATTGGTTACCTTTGACAAACTCTGTGGATTGTAGGATTCCTAAGTTAACCTCTAGCTTCTTACTACTAGGTCCCTTCATATCGCTAGACAGCCCTTTTGAATAGACCAAAGGCAACACCATGTTGGCTGTCTTCTGTGTAGTCCACACCTGTTCCAGGGACGCTTTTATACCTTTGTCATCCCTGCTGAATCTGGGTGTCTAGGCAGATCCCAATTCAGCCACATCTACTTTGTGGCTACAACCCACAAACCCTCTTTAATTTGTAAGCAAGAGTTGGTGCAGTTCTCTGTTCTACAACTACGGGGAACAATTTTTTCCAAGGTCTCTGATCCCACAAAGCCCCTCTTTAGGTTTGAACAGCAGGAAGCAGCATCAGCACTTCCTCTCTCTCTGGGTGGGAGGAAAGGAAGGACACATAAATTTCTCCCCAAGAAACCACTTTGTAGACTCTTTCCTCCTATACTCTCATGATCTTGCCATGAAGCAGAACTGTTCTTCTACATTAAATGTGTACATAATAAAAAGTCATTGAATTAACAATCTTTGATTGCAATGGACAGTGTTCATATATGCCCTCAACCCTTGATAATAAGGGATTATATTACATATGGACTAATAAGGGATTAGATTACATACGTATATAGTACCATATATACATATATTTACACATATATACATATACACATGCATATATACATATATGTATACATTCCTGTCTGGCTAGAATGCTAATTGGCTGTTAAGTCTTTTGGTTCTAAGTTTCTTGGCCATAAGGGTCCCAGTGAGGGACAGAATGGACCTAGGTTAGGTAGCCACACCACCCCAGCAACAATAGGACAAAATAAAATTTGGCCATTGATGCTGCCTCTGGCAAATCTTGGCCAAAAGGAGGGAAATGCAAACTAAAATAAAATCCTGGCT